TTATGCTCTAACTCTCATTCTGAAGGTATTTGCCCGATTTCTCTTCTTTTCTTCAACAAATACTTATAAATACTTATGTTAAACACAAGCAAAATATAACGTCTGTCAAATCTTCCCACACTTGAGCATTGCTTGTCCTCAAGCAATTTCTTTGTAATGATACACAATTAGAAACGAAACTAATTAAACCATGCAAATTAAAAGTTTAACAAGATGTTAAAAATTAGATATAACCTCTATCTTTCTCGGGCCAAACCTTTTTCAATTACTCACAATAAATGTAATAAAGATTAAGAAAAATATTTAAACACTTGATGGGTTTATTTTGTGACAATTTAGGCAATGTGTGGGTATGTCGGTTTCTTTTGGATTGATAACTTGATTTTGTAGAGAAGGCTATTCTAGGAGAACATGAGTTTTTATTTTGCTTTTTTATCTAAACTCATTTTTTGTTCTCCGTAATTATATATCTGGATTGTAAGAAATGAGGATAATCCGATAACATAGAGTGACTTGAAATTGGGATAGAACTTTTGTTTCGAATTTGAACACTGCACATTTTATGAATTTGGAAAATTGTCACATTTGAGTGAAAGAGGTGATTTCAATATTAATAAATATTTAAATTAATCTAAAATGACATTTTTGTGAGTAAAAGAAAATCTTTCTCAACCAAAATCCATTAAAGAGAGAATATCAAAAAATTTAACCTTCATAGAAAAAATTTAATTTGCAAAGAAAAAGTTTCTTGAATAATTATTCACCCCCACACTTGATTCACATTGTCCTCAATGTAGATTGGAGAATGTAATGCAAGATGAAATCCTCAATGGTGGAATGAGATGTCTTTGGGAGTAGGAATTGCATGATACCTCAATTGAGATGATGATTTTTTTTGTTTTTTGTTTTTTTTTTGTTAGGTTGCCTCCCAATTAGCTTTTAGTTTAATGTCATAGGCCGAACGAACGTACCTCTTTTACGGCGGTGGATGGAGTGCTTTTCTCCGATAGAATTTGAATCATTGTGTCCCCTTTCATCGGGTAGAGTATCGGGAGGACTTCGTTGTTTGTTGGTGTGATCTCAAGTACATCTTCATATGCATCCTCCTTTTTTGTTTGTCCCCCATCATCCCGATAGATGCTTTCTGTCATAGAGAATTCTTGCATTTGTTCACCAAGATGGAATTTGATTTTACCTCCTCTGACGTCGATTTGTGCTCCTCCGATTACTAAGAATGGTCTTCCTATAATGATGGGGTCGTCCCTTCCTCCATATCAAGTACAACAAAGTCAGCGGGGAAGTATAGTTTTTCAACTTTTACCAAAACATCATTGATGATGCCCAAAGGTACTTTTTAATGAACGATCTGCCAATTATAGTACCATGGATGTCTGTTGAAGCTTCTTCTTCCCTATTCCAAGTTTGTTGAATAGGGACAATGATATAAGATTGACCCCTGTCCCTAAGTCACATAAGGAATTTATTGAAGCAAATTTCTCAATGACACAAGAGATTGTAAAACTCCTGGGGGTTTTGTATGTAGAGGGTAACTCCTTATGAATTCTTGAGCTAATTTCTTCATTAAGGTTAATAGAAGCTACCTCTTTGATGTGGGTTTTCTTTCACTTAAAAAGGTTGTAGAAAAGTGGTTGAAAGTACGAGTATCGTCTCCACAGGGACAGACAAAAGGAAATTAAAGATTAACTAAATTCAGCGATTAAAAAGAAATAAAATGCAATTGTGCGAGATTGGGTGGTTTGGAACATAAATTAATGCGAATGAGCGAATAAAAATAATTGATTGGGTTCTTCTTAATTAACGACGAAGGAAGCAGGGATTGATTCCAGGGTAATCAGATTTCTGGCAGATCAGGCTTAATTACATGAAATTAATTTAATTGAGCCTAGCTAGTCAATACTAAGTTCTTACCGCTCTCGCGACGTAGAGTATAATAATTTAGGAGACCAGGCTGATCTTTCATGCGACAGGATCCTAAATTATTGTCAAAACGAGCGAGCTTACGGCCCCTTAATCGTTATTAATCTCTTAGCGAACGATTAAGTGTGTGTGAATGTGTCCTAGAATAAATTAGATCTCTCTTAATTTATTCTACAAGCAATTGTAATTCTAGCCGCCGTTCCAAGTTACAAAAGATAGCAGTTAAATTGTTCAAACACAAATTAAACGACATTCATGCAATTAAACCATCAAGAATCTAGCCATACACCATGATTAACCCCTTCATCAATCCCAAACCTCTAATTAAAACTACTCCCGACTCATAATTGAAGAATCAATAGAATTAGGAATAATAGAAATAATTGTCATTAATTAAAAAGAAGGAACTTACAAAGAATCTCAAAGAATATAAAAACAAGGCTGAAAAGCTCTCAAAATTTGTCCTCAAGCTGCTCTCTAAGTCCCATCCCCATAAAATAGGGTTAGGGAGGTATTATTTAAAGGAAACAAAGCAATTCGGGTTGGATTAGGACTGAAACGGGGCACGCACGGCGACCAAGCACGCGTGCGTGGCGTCCGTGCATCCGACAGACATGTGCGTAAAATCGTTGGACGCAGGCGTGCGTCCCTCCCCACGCACGCGTGCGTGGCTGCCAGTGAGTTTTCCGGCTTCTCTGGTCCGAATTTGACAAAACTTCCGTCATGAAAGTTGTAGATAATGAAGTCCTCTATCCACCACAACTTGCCTAATTGGATTTGAATAATCCAATCAAGAGATATGAATAAAATGGTGGAAGGTCTCATTCTGAAACGCAACAGGGATCATCTGACTTCATCGTCTGTTTTCACCTTCTTCCTCTCAGATTCTTGCAATGGTGTCTTCATATGATTTATATCCCCTGAAGTTGGATTTCATATGCAACTTGAATCGTGTCCTTTGGATGCTTCTACGAAGAGATATGTTTGAACGATTGACAGGTCATCCTGAACTTCGTTTTCAAGCTCTATTCGTCTTCATTTAATCTCGTAGCCAATCCTAGAGCTCTTTTGTCATCAAATATTCATTGTGAACCTCCCGGTGACCTCCAAAGCTCTCAATTCACTCTCGAATGCTTCTTGAATCATCCCGTTTGCTCCTCAAGCGTCGGTGTCGGACTCTAAATTCCTTATTTTGACTCCAAACAACACAAAACTCGAACCAACGTCCGGTAAACATAACTTGAGCTAAAATTGAGACTTGTAACACCTTAAAGCTAGGAAAACCATCACAAGTAGATCTCAACACACATCAAATGCGTGTCTAAATACGAACTTATCACTCTTCAAGTCTTGTCTACTCCAATATGAAATCCTTCAAGAATTTTTTTATACGAAGGGATTTCCACAATGGCATCGGCAAATGGGATAGTTACAGAAATTTTCTTGAAGTAGTTCAAAAAATTCTGAAATTTTCTTTTTCAGGATCCCTTACTAACCTTTGAGGATATGGAGTACGGAAGTCATATGGGGGTACCTTTGGGAGTTGTGTTGGTGAAAGTTGCAGATTTGATCGTTCATCCACTTCATCATTAGTAATAGAAATTGCCATTACATCTTCAATAGAATTTGTGGGGCTTGATGATCTCCCAGCTTCTCTAGATATTTTTGTTGCAGCAAGTTGAGAAATTTGTACCTCGAGGTTGTGAATGGAGCTCCTTGTATACTGTTCGAGGTTGTCCATCCGTTGGTTTAGCTTTTGGTTTTGATCTTCAACTCGAAGATGAAGTTTAGTGAATTGGGAGTGGAGGTTCCCAATAAAGGCTTCAACTCAAAGATGACCTTCAATTGGTTGTGTTGTACAAGATGATGAAGCCATAGCCATGGATGTGTAGATTCTCTAAGAATACAAGTGGATTTTTTGATGGATTGAACGATCTCCCTTGGATCTCTTGATATATGTGTTCTTGAGACCTTTGGGAAGAAATATGTTCTTCCGTTTTAGTCGTAAGAATGGAGCGAACATGTGCTTTTATCTTGTATCAAAGAGAAACTCATTTGATCCCTTATGTACTACTACCTTCGTTCCCATTTTAACTTCCAAATGGGTTTGGCACAAAGTTTAAGATAGTGAATATTGTGTGGTGGAGAGTTGTGCAGAGGAGAGAGAAATGTGTAAGAAATATTGTGAACCACAAATTCTTTACCAAAAAGGGAAAGTGGAAGTTTTAATTGGAACGGACGAAAAAGGAAAGTTGGAAGTTTATTTAGGAATGGAGGGAGTATTTAATGTTAAAACATACACATCATATGTTAACTATATATAAATAGGGACCAAATCCATCATATTGCAAACTTAATGATAAGACATAAATGTCCCCAATATATATTAAATTATATAAATGGTCCAAGAGCATTTGAATGGAATATTTTCCGACAATGACAACAACAACAACAACATTACCCTGTGTCGCAAAGGCTCTGATCAACGATTGGGTAAGGAGGTCAGATGTATGTAGCCTATTTCTTTGTACTAAATCATAGAGAGAGTATTTCTAGATGACTCATGATGAAAATTGCATCAAAAATTGCATTACCTGAGTGCTACCTTATAATAAAAAAGCGCGGACAATTTAGTGAGCCATTTTGCTTTATTTCATCACATTCCCAAGCAAAAAATAGTAAGTCTTTAGCTCCATTGGAAATGATGGAAAAATTCTTAGGACTACTAAATAAGGAAAATTGACAAAGTTTCTATGAGTAATAAATAAATCATTGTAACTATGAGCTAAGAATTTGTTTGTTATATATCAAATTGATTGATACATCTGAATCTACGTAAATATGAAAAATATATTTAATATATATTACCAATAAATTAAGAAAAACATAAATGTAAAAAAAAGCTAAACCGGTGTCTTCACCGAATTCAGCTAAAGACGTAACTTGGTACTTACGTAATATTTATTTTGATTATTACACCTTTCAGCGCCAAAATCAAAAGTTTAGTGTTTTCCAAAAACATGACATAAAGAAAAAAATGATTACCAAAAAGACATCTAGAGTTTAAGTTAAAAGGTTATGCAAACCATTAAAGTCTAAAAATTCCAAGCCCATTATGGAAGATTATCACACATTACTAATGGGTTGAGGTTGACAGACTTTCAGGTCAGCAACCAAATTCTAGTAAATGACTAATTACCTCAAAAAAAATACCACAAGTTTATATGCTCAATAAGAATTGTGTATTTTTTTCATGAAAATGGCTCTATAATACTATGCATTCTCCCTCACAAGTTTGCTGAGCCATTCTTGAAACATCTCCCATCTTTGTAGCTTCTTCGTGGCTTAATCTAACTCAACCCATCAAATTATAATCTTCTGTGTTAAGATAAGGATTATAGCTCCCTGGAGCATCAATCCTTCCTATCATCTGCTCCATTCCTGCAAAAGTGGAAATTATGATTTACAATTATGATGAGTTAAATTTAAAACTGCTCATAAAACCGTAAGGAAGATTTTTTGGTTGTCACAACATATAGTCTGCATTTTATGTGTAGCTTCATTTAGTTTCCTTTTCCCACAATGCCAACTTTATCTAGATTATACAAGAAATACTTACCAGGATTTGATAAACCACAAAAGGACATGTGGCCAAAACTCCCCACCGGTTTTGAAGCACTCCTCTGTGAAGGAAATACTGGTTCAGCTTCATTGCTTCTTGAATTAATGGATTGTTGCATGGCAGAGCTAGCAACAAGGGTTTGATAGCAGACATTTTCACTCTTTAAAGTTTCTGTAATGTGAGAGGAGGAAAGTAAGGACATGTCCTGATCTGTTTTATTTTTTTAATCTAGTCTAACCTTGTATGACTAATTTTGGCTTAATCTGATACCATATCTTAAATTTTGTGTACTTTAGTACTATTCTATTGTGGGATATAACATCCGGTCTGATCTAAAGCTTTCACGCATTATGATTCTGATCCGAAAAATTCAATTTAAACGTTTCTAGTCTAGTTTGATCTGAATCTGTCGGCTGTGATGCAGACATTTCTAGTCTGGTCTGATATGACACGATTAAAATGAAAAGAAGTACAGAGAGCAACACCTGAATCATCCTCGGGCTTCGACTTCGTACGAGCATTGGTTGACTGGACCTCGGCCTCCACCTCGGATTCAATGTTGTTTGTTGATGCAACCTGTTGTTTTCTTTTGGATCGAGCACGTCGGTTTTGAAACCAATTGTAAACGTTCGTTTCAGAAATTTGGCCATGTTGGGACAATTCAGATGCTATCTCTTTGATCTTCTGTTTGCTAGGAGTTCCATTGCCTTGATCAAACATCCGCTCAAGAATCTGAAGCTGCACGGGTGTTGGGGTCCACCGCTGTCTACCGGTTATTTTGTGGCCAGCTGATGTCACTAGTTGATCACAGTAGAAATTCCCCAGCCTAGCTCCTGAGGGACGTCATAAACAAACTGTAACTAAATTCAGATCTGCCCTGATACTTTCATGTAACAAACATGTTTGAAAAAATAGAGACATTATATACTGTGATCAGATTGGAGTAATATATTAGTGTAACATATAAGAATTGCATAGACTGCTATGTTTTTATGAAAAAGTGTGCCTTAGAAAAATCTTTGAATTCACCAAAATTTTCCAAACTTTCAGGTTATGCTAGAATTCCCTCTATCCAAATGAGGCTTTGAACAACTAAGGCATGCATGATGTGTTTACTGTCTGATAGAAAGACAATGGTAAACATGATAAACTACCTAATAATTACAAATAACCGTAAGGCTAAACGTGCTAGGTGTTACATGGTAAAATTTTATTTGGAGGGACCAAGAGTAGGTTAGGCAGTCATGGAAATATATTACACGCCTCTTCTTACTTAGGCTCACGCATTTTCACATCTTTGATGGTTAACTCTCGAGTTGACTACTTTTCTCATGTCTTTCTACTACGCATGGGCGTTTCGTCAGCCACTTCATGACTATGCCTTGACCTCAAATTTTGAGCCTTTTAGAACACTACATACATATTATTTTTTTGAATTGAAGTTTTTTTATTTGATTTATTATGAACTTATCGATCAATGTTCACTTCGGCGAGCTAAGTTTAAGTATGGCTATTGAACTTATTTGAGTCTAGTCTAAAATCTAAATGGTCTAATCCAGGTCAAATTTGTTTACCTCATGTCAAACTTATTGAAATCAGGTCTGGTTTGATTTTGTTTATTATTTAGAAATTGCTCAATATAGGACTAAAACATATACAAAGTGCAAAAATAGAACTAAATATGTTTAATTCTCTAAATAGGACTTATTTAATCTCATTAAAAGAAGAAGTTCATTAAAATTCCCAAAATAAGAGTGAATGAGTCATATTTTGAGAATGAAACAATGATAATCTTATTTATGAACTTTATTATTGTTTTAGTCTTATTATTATGTGAAATATATGTTAGAGAGATATTTTATACAGAGTATAAAAATATAGTATATTTTTCATATTGTAGTTATGAAAATTTAAAACATTAAGCATTTTTTAGTTTAAAGTTTAGAATGATAAAAAATAAAAGTATATTTAAATAAAAATAAATCACTACAATGTTTAACACATTTACCTGGACACAAAAATGGACAACCACAAGAAATGGACACAAAAAGAGGGTTTCGTGTTGTCCAATTAGAAACAAAAAGATTCTATACGGACCAAAGCTAATTGGGTATCTTCAGTTTTATTGGAGGCATTCGTTTTTTCTTATGGGGGCACACATATTTTTAATAATATACCAGTACAAATTTTTAAATAAAAGGTTTTAGATATTATTTGGGGCATGCGTCCAAGTCCTCACAATGTGTATCCTTGTGACCCCATGAACCCATCATTGTCATGTCGTTTAAAATATTTCTTAATATGTGTGCGCTTTTCAAACATAATATATAGAGTAAATCTTAGATTGGAATCCTAATAAAAACTGTGATGAGAGGATACTATATAAAAATGCAAAAATCTGGACCAGAATCTCAATCTCTATATGTCAGTTTGTGATATGATTAAAATCTAATTTACATTCTTTCAGTTAACTGTTAGGCTGGTGCTAAGGAGCCTTAGGGTGGGGTGTCATCCTTTCTTTAAGACTTCTTCAACCTTTCAGACTCAGGGTATGTTTGGCACAACTAACTGAAAAGATAATTTTATGAGCTTTTTAGAAACTATTAGCTTTTAGTGACTGAAAAGGTCTTAAAAGAAAAAGGTAGTAACTGTTTGATAAAAAGCTAGTTGTTTGATTTAGCTCGATTTGGTATACAAGTTGTTGGGACTAATTAATGCTAGAAGCTATAGACCTATCTGAGATGCTACTCACCGTAGCATCTCAAAAAAGATATTTTATTTTTAGGGAAAAGATGCAAATAAGCCCTCGAACTAACCGAAAAAGTGTAAATCACCCTTTTTATAGGAGACTCTATCTGGCCATCGCCATTTGGGGCGGTTACCGGTGGAATTTTTTGATGATTTTTTTTTCAGAATCTTCTTTATTAAGTCTAGTTTACCCATATCAAATTTTAGGTAAGCATTCAACCGGGAAGGCAGTCAAATAATTTTCTGAAATATACTACGTTGTTTAACTGCACATTTATCTTCAACCATTTATTTGACTGCCTTCAAGATTGAATATTTGGCTGAAATTTGGTATGACTAAACTAGACTTTATGCTCAAAACATTTCATCGAAAAATTCCCCAGGGAACCGCCTCAAATGGTGACGGCCGGACAGAGCCTCCTATAAAAGGGGTGATTTGCACTTTTTCAGTTAGTTCGAGGGCTTATTTGCCCATTTATCCTTATTTTTATAAAGGGGGTGTTTGGCAATTGGCTGTTGGTTGGTGGTTGATTGTGTTAGCTGATTGATGACAACATATTCTAAAGGGGGTGATTTGCTGATTGCCAGAAAAAGTCAATAGAAAAAGTTGATTAACCAAACAGCTAAATAGCTGTTTGGAATGGTCAAAAAGCCAATGAATGGTCAAAACAACCAAAAATTGGTTGATAGGTCAATAACCAAACATCCCCAAAAGCTCTTAAAAATTGACATGCCAAACATAGAACTACAAACTTTTAAAAACTTTTTAAATAATACAAAAGCTAGAAGATAAGGATTTAAACCGTTTTAATTATCTAAAAAAATTAAAAAGTATCAACACAAGTAATAATTTAATAGAAATTACATTTCACGAGTTAATAAAATTTATTAGTATGACGATATTTTGATTAATAAATGGAGTTATAAGTAAAAATATATCAAGAAAAAGTTGCGTAATAAAAATGAAAAATATATTTAAATATTTGTGTCACCACAAACGTGTAGATGAAATGTTTTTAGTTTATTTAACTATTCTAGCTTTCTATTGGTTTTGTATATGATTTTAATATATTATCCTAAATTATTTGCATTCATTAAAGTAATAAAAAGTAATAAAAACAAATAATATTGATTGCAATGTATTTTGTTCATATATTGCTAAATTTTGTAAATGTCATTGCTTATTCATTTATTAGTGTATTTATACACTAAAAATTTTCTTAACAAAAGTGGGTCTTCATGCTTTTAGAGATGGAAGTGAATTGTCCTTTCATTAACAAAAGTGAATTTTCAATTTGGAACCATTGAAGTTGCTACAGAGTATAGGAGCTACAGAGTATGATCTATATATTCGAGATCTGTGATTTAAAGATAAGGCTAAATCTGTATTTTAGAGAACAAAGTGAAACAGCCGAAATCAAAAGCTAAGTTCAGTAGAGTTTTGATTTTTGGCTGATTGCCAGAAAAAGTCAATAGAAAAAGTTGATTAACCAAACAGCTAAATAGCTGTTTGGAATGGTCAAAAAGCCAATGAATGGTCAAAACAACCAAAAATTGGTTGATAGGTCAATAACCAAACATCCCCAAAAGCTCTTAAAAATTGACATGCCAAACATAGAACTACAAACTTTTAAAAACTTTTTAAATAATACAAAAGCTAGAAGATAAGGATTTATTCCGGCCAAACTTGATCAATGAGATCTATTTTAGACAAAATAAAGTAGCTAGTTTAATTTATGCGCTTATGCACTTCTAATTTTCTAGTCATATTTAGATCTTTGAATATTATTCAAAAGGTTTGACTAAACAAGAATTGAAAAGTACCCATACCATTGAAAAGTCCCCATACATCAGACAACTACTATACATTATATTCCTAAAGCATCAAAAACATGTTTCGAACGTTTAAATTAATTTTGTTTGTAAGAGTTTTTTCCAGGTCCCCCGACTATTATCTTGGTTACACTTTTGATACCTCACTTTTAATTTTTTCATTTTTAGTCCTTGACTATTGTGATGGAGATATTTTTAGTTCTTGACTTCAAAGTTTCCCACATTTAGTCCCCTGAGTATTATCAAGTTGACACTTTTAGTCCTTCCACTATAATTTTGACACAATAAGTGGAGGACTAATAACGTCACTAATATAATATTTGAAGAACCAAAAGTGTCACTTCTATAAAAGTCGTAGGACTAAATATGAAACTTTTTAAAGACGGGTAGCAAAAGTGTCTCTAATACAATAGTCGATGACTAAAAGTGAAAAAAATCAAAATCGAGTACCAAAATTGTCAATGACATAATAGTCGAAGGATCAAAAGTGACAAAAACTCTTGTTTGTAATTAATCACTACTCTTCATCTCAAAAATGTCTTACTCCGTATTGTGTTTGGCACATCCATCAATGATCAGAAAAATAAAAGTTGTAATTGAAATTTGAATACATTGACATATAAGTAATAAATAACTCTTGAGAGTATTAGTCATTACCCAATATATTACTACGTACTACATATCAAAGTAATGATAATTGATTTGTCAACTTTTATTGACTTCAAATGTAATGAAAACTTATATACTACCTAGTATAAAAATATACACATAGTAACATTAGTCATATTTTTATACATAACCTTTTGTCTATAGTATTCTACCGAGTATTACAAACATATGGTCCATTCTGATATGCAACGGTCTAATAAATTATAGGGAGAATTTGAGTTTGTACCCATGTTTTGAGTGATATTTGACTTTGCATCTCATCTTTAAAATCATTAATGTATGCACCCCATTAGCCCAAAAATTGTGAAGAAGTGAGATGCAAAGTCAAATGATTTTATAGTGAATTGGGATGCATACATTAATGATTTTGAAAATAGGGTGCAAAGTCAAATATCACTCAAAACATGAGATGCAAAATCAAATTCTCCTTAAGTTATATTCCAATTGCAGTTGATAAGAATAAGAGAATTGCAAACAATATAATTAAAAGAGGTGGTGATATTTAAAATATGACTACTTAAGTTTTATTCCTGAATCAGTGATGTCCTGCATGTATGATATTTATTTTAAAACTATTGTTACTCTCTTCAATTTAAATATCTCTCAAGTTTATTATACATATTTAAAATGATTAGTAATTCTTAATTTTTTCGTCAAATAGACATAAATATCCATTAGATAAAGATTAGCATTTATTATTTATGATAAAACATCAATTATGATCTTTTAAATTTTCGAAATGAATAAAAAAATTGACCGCGCAATTGAAAAGAGAGGGAGATAGAAGAGGGACCAGGAAGATCGTGTTGCGATGTGATTGATTTGTGCAAATCGACGAGCTGCTCGCAGATGGTGGCGTAGACGGCGATTTGCTTCCGGAGGACCTCCATTTGCTCGTCCGTCATCACTTTCACAAACATCCCTCCGCCCACCTCTTCCACCTGCGGCGGCGGCGGTAGCTTCACCCACTCCATTTCGAGCCCCCAAAATCAATCACAGGCTCCTTTAATTTTCTCTCAGAAAAGGTATGGCGAGAGTAAAGCAGAGCGGGAAGAAAGAAAGTGAGAGACAAGAAGAGATTTGGACGTTCGGTCATACATACTCCGTACAATACAGGAGAAGATTCTGTAATATCACAATTTTTGTAAACAAATATTACGCGTAATCTTCTTTTATCTTCGCACTATCAATTTGATCTTTTGATGCTCAAGTCATTGATTTTTTTATCTTCTTTTCGAATCAATCAATCAAGTGAAGATTACTGAGATGGACTATGGTCACTTGGATCATCTTGTTACTCTTTTTACATACAATGATAAAAGTTTTAAAATGTGTTATCGATTATTGTGTTAGAGTAGGTACTTCAAAGAGTAGGTAACTCTTTGAAGTGTCTCTTGTTACTCTTTTTACATACAACGAAGTACTCCCTCCGTTCCCAAAAATACTTCCCACTTTCCTTTTTGGACCGTTCCCAAAAATACTTCCCACTTTCCCTTTTTGGACAATTTGTGTGGCTCACATTCATTTTACCTTTTCCCTACACAACCACAACCATACATTTCCACTTTATTCCACTTTCTTAATAAGCGTGTCAAGTCAAATCGGGAAGAATTTTTAGGAACGGAGGGAGTATCAAAAAATGAATAGATTGATAAAATTACCCTTTTACTATTATCAATTAACATAAATGTCTCTCTACTTTACGCGAGAAAGAGCAAAATAATAAAATCTAATTTTCAATACACTTTTTATATTATTGTCAATACATTGTTTAAGTCTATACTAAAAAAGTATCCACACTTATTTTATAAAATTGTTAAAATGCTGCAAAATATTACTACGTGATAAAAGTACATTAGTAAAGATATTTGTTGCATTTCTTAATAAAGCCGCAGTTTTCATGTTTTGATTTTGTTATCACAGGAGGGTTTTGACGTCTAACGCCGTTACAAAATCGTCCAAGGAAGCAATGAACAACAACTTCAATTTTCATAAGTACATGTAAAATTAAAAGAAAAACACCGGGAGATGTGCCTCATTAAGGCAACCTCCAAACTATCTTCTGACTTTTTTCGGCTCTTTTTGGGTTATTTTTAAAAAATAATCCACCAGTGTAACTCTTCCAGTGGAGTTTTCAGCGGTACGGGTGTTGAAAAAAAGATAATCTAGAGGTCTCTTTGATGTGGCGCACCTCCCAGTATTTTTCTTTTGATTTTCCGGGAACTTTTGAAATTCGGGGTTACTGTTCATCGTTGTTGATAGATTAAGTGATATGTATAAATGATTTTTTCAACCATTTACATGGCTCCCACAGGGAACATTTATAAGAGAAAAGTGGACTGGGCTCCCAGGCTTGGGCCAAACAGGCCCAGTTACAATAAAAGGCCATTAAATGGCTAATAAATGGTATTTAGTCTATTGTAATTGGTATACATGAATAAATAGAGTGTACAATGATGTAAATGCTATCTAGTGAGCATATGTGGTCCGTTGTCTGGGCCTAATAGTATTGAGACCGGGGTCCAAGTCCATATACTCTATTAGTCGTTTTTCGCCGATTTCTAATGGCGTTAGGTGTCGGTTCTGTAGTGATAACAAAATCAAAACACAGGAACTACTTAACAAGAAATGAAGCACAGATCCTTATCTGAAAACATGGCCAACCATATGTATCTTTTCCGTACTTTTCTCTAATAAACACGGTAAACAAATTATGAATGTCAAAATATATATTTTTTATTCATGTAATTAATCCGTATTTGAATACTACCTCCGTTCTTAAATAAATGCAACACTTTGACTTTTACACTATTCACATGTTCTACTTTGACTACGTTTTATTTATTAATGTAATAATATTATTTTATGAAAAAAATATTGTTAAACTTGTCTCATTGTAAATTTTCATAATCTAATTTTTTTAATTTTTTTACTAATACAAAATCATTTATATTAATGGTCAAAGTTGTGTCTCGGCAAGTGTGAAATGTTGACCGTTGCATTTATTTAAGAACGGAGGAAGTATTATACATTTTTTGAAAACTTGTACGTTTTAATTTTAAATATTTTATATTTGCACTTTATTTTTTGCGAGAACTGACAACTAAGCCCTCGTACTTTACCGTAAATGTCGATTAGACCCTTGTATTTTAAAAACACCCAATTGAATCCCCATACTCCTAAAAGATGTTTGATAAGTCCATATTTCGACACGCATTTGATGCGTGTTAGGATTGGTTTTATTAGTGTTCCTAGCTTAAATGTGTCACAAAACACCTAATTAGCTCAAGTCATAGTTGCCGGGTTTTGGTTTGCATTTGGTGTTTTTAGAATTAAAATCAGGATATTGAGTCCGACATCGACGTTAGAGAATTATTAGGGAAGATTTGAGACACATTTGAGAGTTATTAAGAAGTATTTAAGGTCCACAAGTCATTAAAGGAGTGATTTTCAAGTCAATGAATCTCAAGGATCAAGTACGAGATCAGACGGGAACGAATAGAGCTCGAAAACGGCGATCAAGATGGCACTCTGTCAATCGTTCGAGCATATCTTTTTATAGAAAGATCAAACTGACATGATTCAAGTTTCATATGAAAGATAACTTAATGAGCTACAAATCATATGAAGACACCATGACGAAAATGTGAGATGATCAAGGAGAAAACAGACGAGGAAGTCAGATAATCGCTGTTGAGATTTTAGAATGCAACTTTCCACTATTTTATCCTATCTTTTAATTGGATTATCCAATCTGAGTTTTGTAAGTTCTGATGGATAGAGGCCTTCATTAACTACAACTTTAGTGACGAAAACATAATTAAATTCATGAGGAAGAAGAAATCACGGAAATGCTACTGGAGGTCAAATCCACATTAAGTGAGAAAAAACGACACATCAATATAATGTTCAATTGATATTAATGGTACAGTAATGCTCAATCCACATTAATGGTACAATGCAAGTTAAGAGCTTATTTGATAGATTCCCTTTTTTTTTCATTTTTTATTTTTTATTTTAGTTTTTAAATTTATTTATCTATTTTGCATTTTCATGGTGTCCTCACAAGTTTTTTAGCTTATTCAGTTATCTCTCTCACGAATGACTTTAGAACGGCATCCGGATTGAAGGTTTGATCTACAACGATGGTCTACATGGGTGTTTATGCTAAAAATAAACTAATCTAAAATTGAAATGGGAATCGAACAAGTATGAATCGATAATGGACAAATTATGAATGAAAGAAAATATTAAATATTAATCAAATATATTGAGATGCTTCGTAGAGCTTATGAGCTTGATCACTGAATGTATATTGCTAGTTGTGGTAACGAATGTATAATTAGAATCTATTGCCCTCCCTTTACATTGTAGCTCTCTATTTATTTTATTACTAAGTGGCACTAACTTCAACTACTCCACCAAAATAGGTGGCACTATAATAGGCTCTCCTTTGTTATTTTCCATTCTTTGAGCATTTATCTTCAATTTGATTTATTCTTCATTTACGTTGCTTGAGCTCTCCTCTTGGGCTAAACACTTTGAATTATTTATTTTAACAATACTCACGCACTAACTACAAGTATCCATGAAAATAGGAACCTCTTTCCCAGCTTCGAGCTATTTTCTCTCCTTCCTATTTGCGCAGGCTTAATCTTATCTTGACTTGGTCCGGTCTCCTTAGCTTTGACTCATCGGCCCAACTGTTAGGAATATTACCGGCCCAACAATTGCCCCCTTTCGAGAAGTTGAGGCGTATGAGCGCATATCCCAACCCGTTAAGCATCAACTTTTCGAAATCTCAAAAACATCTATATCTGTCATCCTTGAATATTGCCCATGTAAACTCGCCATCTGTCTGATGAGACATGTTGTCAACCTACCATCCGTGTAACAAGATGCTTTTGCCAACTCGTCATTTTTCCGATGACATGTTTCCTTCAACCCGTCACTCGTCCGATAAGACGACTTCTTTAAAATTCTGTGAAAATAGTTTCTGATCTAATCCATCTCTTTGACTAAAGCGACGAAGACGAAAGCTAATCTCCTGTCATCTTCCCCCGAATTTGTGCTAATGATCATAACTAAGAAATGCTGACGAGTTGAAACTTCGTCCAGGTTTATGTTGACACTTCAGTTGGCCAAGGGAACTTTGTCCGTTGCTAGAGATGATGAGTCAGATTGCATGAATATAATCTAAATCCTGCAAAAACTTTGAATATTGTTTCGTTTATGATTTTAGTAATATCGGCGACATTAATATTTATGATTTATGTCAATGTCATTCGTATTGTCTCCTTATGTTTTGGAGCTTATGTTGTCGCGCTCTTGAAGCACATGCTTCTGTTGTGTACTTCTGTAGTTTTTGCCAAAATGTGTGAGGGGTATGGGTTTGTCTTTCATGTATTCTTTATGAATCACCCTTACCGAACACACTGTCCCTTTTTATGTTGTCAGGGATTGTGTGTAAGTGCCTTCTGTGAGCACGTTTGGAGTTTGTAGCAGTATCTGTTGACATGCACTTGTCATGAGAGGCACTCAAAATAAATACAATACAACAAATATACGTAGTATATTGAAGTAAGATTCGTGTCCACAGGGAAAGGAATACTTCTCTTTTTAGTAAAACTAGTAAATAAGGAGGGTTTTGGGTTTGAATGATTTGATTTAATAAGAAACTAAGAAGAAGGACTTGTATGAGATTTAATTCAAGAATAAAAGGGACTTGGCCTTGCTACTTTCCACTTGTTGATATATTTTAGTCGATCATTGTTATATCTATAACTTATCCCCTCTCGAATACTCAATCGAGGAGTATATCCAATTCATCGAGGGTAGTTATTAACAACGACCGTTCATTAATAACTCTTACTATTAATCAAATATAGAACAACGCCTTATACCTATTTAATAGTAGCATTTAATCTTTCTAACTCCTTGATGAAATCAATTGAGATTGATAACCTTAACACAACGGTTTCGATTTAACCAACAAAATTGATCCCTCTCAAGTTTATTAACCATAATCGTGCATTAATAAACCGAAGTTACTTACTTGTGAAACCATCAACGATTAACCATCGGTTCGTTGATCGTTTCTAGTAGTAATTAATGTTGGAACGTTAACTAATC